TCTTTCCCAGCCTGGTTCAGATGGAGATCTTTGCTCTTAATAAAGTGGCAGCTGGCTATCTGGGAGTGTCTGAACGTGGCCTTCTCTGGCAGGGAGCGCGTCATCCATCTCTGTCCTCACCCCGTCAGATGACAAGACTTTGCTGGGCTGCTCCTTCTTGGAATGTGCCTTGGCTGGCAGAAAGCAGGCAGGAAGCATTTGCAAAACACCAGTTTCATCTTCTGTCTGTGGAGGGGCCCGGAGGAGCGAGTTGAGTTTGCTGCTCTTGGCAAGCCCATCTATCAGGAGTGTGGCCATCGGGTGCCGGGCAAGGCTATTTATTTAAGCCTCACATCAGGCAGTGAGACTTAATTTATGGGGACAGGAGGGAGGGTGGTGGGGCAGGCTGGGTCTTCCCACTTTGAAAGGTGCTCAGAACAGAAAGGGCAACAGCACCTAATGGGAAATTGTGCTGTGCTTTGTAGCATGTGGCCTGGAAATGGAGCTGCAAGGCTCGGAAAGGTTTTGAAATAACATTTCAGGTTGGAGCCCTCCCTGCCCCCACCTAGAAATAGGTGTTAGGATGGAAAACAGGGCAACTCGCTTCACCTCTCATCACCAGCCAGAGCTGTTGAAATGAAAACAAAAAATTCTTCCTTAAAAGAAAACGTGTTTTCCAAAGTTCTGTGAATTTTCTCTTGACTTCCAAGTCCAGAAAAGGCTGCATGAAGTCTTGGAGCTTTGAAGCCTGCTTAGGGGACCAAGGAGGAGGCCCTGTGGGGGTAGACAGCAGCAACCTCCAGGCCATTCAGGTTTGCTCATCCACACATTCAGTGAGCAGTAGGCCTCTGGATGGTGAGAAGATACAAAGATTAAGGGTTGCCAAGGCCTGGGCCCAATTCCCCGCTGTATTGGTTCCCAAGGTTACCTTCAGAAAATTATTCAAACTTTCTGTGTTTTAGTTTCCCCATAGTAGAATGGGGACAGTAATATAGATGTCTAAGGATTGGTATAGGACACTATTGAAGCCTGCAGGTGACAGTGCCGATTATCGCACTTGCTCACAATCAGTGCTTGGCAACATGTTGAATTTGCTAAAGAAACTCACAGAGGTTTCCCATTGCCTGCAGAATGGGGCAGAGCTCCTCAGTTTTATAGTCAATACCTACTGGGATCTGATCCCAACCAATCCTCTCACCTGGTGTCCCAGGATCCTCCTACTAAAATTGGTGTGCAGGGCCTGGCCACACCCCGTTCATTCACTCTACACCACTGCACCCCCAGCTGCTTGCCTATACCGTCCGGCACCCAGCACGCCTTCCAGCACCCAGCATGCCTTCTGGCACCCAGCACTCCTTCTGGCACCTAGCACGCCTTCCTTAGCCTCCCCTCCTCATCACACCTTCTGTCCGGAGGCCCTGTCATCGGGGTGGCGAGAACTACCACTGACAAGAGTGCACACCATGGATCAGACACTGCATGTGTGTTATTTTAGATCTATGTTTTACAGGATCAGGAGACACGTAATCAAGCGAAAGGAAAGGGAGCACAGTAAGAAATTTCTAGAAGGCAAACAATATGGTCAGATTTACCATGAAGGAAAGATCGCTCTAAGCCAAAGAAGAGATTGTGAAGTAGGGGAGGAGGCCGAGTGTCAGGGAGGAGGCTGGGGGTCAGGGAGGGGGCTAAAGATCAAGGAAGAGGCTGGGGGTCAGGGAGGAGGCTAAGAATTAGGTCAGAGGCTGTTGCAGGATCCCAGCAAGGAAAGACAGTGACAGCAGCTTTTAGATGGGAGGAGATGCTGGGTTTGAGAGTTTGCGTCATTTTTTCATTCAATGCATATGCAGTGGGCACCTACTGTGTGTCAGGCTGGATTCCAGCTGCTGGGACGCAGTAGTGAACAAAGCAATACAAAAATCTCTGCCCTCCTGGAGTTTACATCCTAGTGGGAGAAACAGATCATAAACTAATAAGAAAAATGTACAGTGTGTTAGATAAGGGTAAGTGCTATAAAGAAACATCAAAGCAAGGGAATGGGATATCAGAGGAAGTGGCCAGTGACAAAATTATGGACACAGTAGCCACAGATGGCCTCACTAACAGGGTAACTTCTGAGAGGAGACTGGAAGGAAGTGAGAGTCAGCCCTGCAGACGTCTGGGGAGAGTATCCCAGGCAAAAGGAATTAGGAGCACCAAGGCTCTAAGGCAGGAGCGTGCTGCCATGTGCCAGGAGAGGGGGGGCACAAAGGGAGAGGATAAGAAGAAGAACTCAGAGGGGGGGTGAAAGGAGCTGGGTCAAAAAGGGCCTTGTCTGTCTCAGGCTCCTTCCTGGAGGTCAGGACTCTGGTGTTAGGTCGTTAGGTGGGCCCATCCCCCTCTGGCTGCCCAGTGGAGGGTACGTGTGATGTGGGTGTGATTGTGAAAGCTTTGAGGATAATGCCATGTGCCGAGTAAAACTCAGACCCTGCAGCCAGGTTCCATGACTCACAACTGTAATCCCAGCACTTTGGGAGGCCAAGATGGATGGATCACCTGAGGTCAGGAGTTTGAGACCAGCCTGGCCAACATGGTGAAACCCGCTCTCTACTAAAAATACAAAAATTGGCCAGGTGTGGATGCGGGCACCTGTAATCCCAACTACTTGGGAGGCTGAGGCAGGAGAATCACTTGAACTCAGGAGCCAGAGGTTGCAGTGAGCCGAGATCACACCACTGCATTCCAGCCTGGCAACAGAGTGAGATTACATCTCAAAAAAACAAACAAACAAAAAAAAACCAACCATACCCTGCAGGCTCTGAGATTCTCCAAGTTAAAGTCTTCAACACAAATACCCACCCTTTCTGAGACTACAGTTTGGGAGATGTTAAGATGGTAGCAGCGGTGCCCGTCTCATGATGCAGAGGGCCTTAACTCTCCCTACCGGCTTGCTGCTCCTGCCATCTGGGAACAAAGAGAGGGGCTGACTTCAGGCCACACTAGCCTCTAGGCCTTGTATCCATAAATACTGTGTCACATGGCTTGGGGTCTTTTCCTTCACAATGAATTCATCTTCATCCATCCTTCCTTTACTTATTCTCCCCAGTACTCATTTATTTGTGTACATACGCATTCCCTCCCTCGTTCTATTTATTTTTTTCTTCACTCCACACTTACTTATTTTCCTCCCTCCTTGCATTGATCATAAGAGTAACTAAATACATGATAGACTTTGCAACTCCTGGTGTCAGCCTGCCTTCTCAGCTACAATGTGCAGGATGAGGGCAGGAAGCATTCTTCTTCACAGCTGTGATACCAGCATCTGGCCCCACGTGGAGCCCATAGCACGTGCTCTATAAATGGATTCCTACACCATTCATCCACTGCACATGCATTCATTCTTTAGGCATTCCTCAAACCTCTGTGGGTACCAAAACCTGGGCCAGACACATTTTAGGAGAAGAGGGAGGAGAGGGAAGAAGAAAAAACAGGATACATTATCCCAGTCCCTGTTGTCCATCATTCCATCCATCCATCCATCCAATAAACATTTACCGACACTTAGTACCGAATTCTGAGCCGGAAACTGCTTTCATAAGAATGATCAAGGGAAGGCTGAGATTGAACCACAGCTGGGCCTCAAAGAATGGGCAAAATGTCAGGAACAGGGAGCAGGAACTGTAGCCAGGGGAAAGGGAACGGCAGGAACAGAGGTTTCCATAAACCTCACCCCGCCTGGTGGTTAGGAGACAACTGCTATCAAGAAAGCTTGGGGCAAATCATGGAGGCATTTAGTTGCCAGGCATGAGAGTTTGCTGGGCTCCAGGGGAACTTGATCTGGGCCTGTCATTTTCAATTGTGAGGAGGCAGGTGGGGCAGCAGCACTGAAGGTTTCAGGTTTGTTGCTCCTGGGCAGAGTATGATTTCCTGTTTGCCCAGAGAGGAGGAAAAGGCCTTCGAAAGAGAGTAAAGTTTCCCCAACAGGCCACACAAGCCCAAAATGGCTCAGACAAAGCTTTGTGACAACTTTAATGCAAATGAACTAACAATATATGGATTAAATCTTCCTCCCCAAAATACATGAGCCGTGGAAACAGAAAAGTGAGTGTTTAGGGGCAGGCCCCTTGAGCTGTCTCTGAGCCTTTCTTAGTGCAATGACATACTGAGGGGCGCAGGTGCCACCGTTCACCCAACAGGCTTGGACTTAATCCTTGACAAAGGGGTCTTGGCCCTCTAACACTGCAGCTCTCCTCCTCAAATCTTCTGGGCCCCGGCAGGCAGTGGCAGAGCTCCTGGGCTACTCTTGGCCTCTCTGACCAGGCAAAATTTGCTCATGGGCCTAGGTCTTCAGAAAGCACCAGCTCTTTCTGGCTAGCCAGGAAGGTGAGTAAACACCAAATAATAACAAAAACAATAGGTATGATTTTAATACTTATTATTTCACATGTAAACATATTCAGCTAACAAAACACTGAATCAGTATCTCATTTGATCCTCATCAGAAGCTGAATGGAAAGTTGGCAGAGGAGGGTGATGGGGGTAGATTATTATTACCATATTACAGATGAGGAAGCTCAAACCCAGAGAGGTTAAAGTGACTTTTGTGAAAGTCACACGTTTGCTACAGTGCTCTAATGAGCCCACTACACCAAACTTCCAAATTGGTAAGATCATGGCATCCTTTTTCAGTGAAGAGTGTGTCCCGGATGTAAATAGCCATAAGTGGTTCCTATGGTTCTGTGGTTGAGATGGGCCATAAGCAGCTGTGACCTTTCCTCCCATCTCATGATAACCTGGGGGTTACAGGTAAGGCTACAGTCTGCAACTGAGGTCTGGACTCAGCCCAGGCAAGAACCAGAGACCAGGTCTCCTGGCCCCAGCCCAGTGTTATTTCCACTCTACCTGCCCTGACACTGAGCTAGGGCAAGGCCCTCCCGGTTTTTTCAGCCTATCTGTAGTGAGAGGGTGTGGGAGAGAAAGCCTCTAGGGCCCCTTCCAGGGACCAGGCTGTAACTGTGATCAGTTCTGAGCTCCGGATGTGAAGGTGAAGAATGAGAGCAGGAAGTGCCAGGCTCCAGGGGGTGGGGCAGGCCCCGCCAGGGGAGGCAGAGGGCACTGAAGCCACCCCTGACCGACTTCACAAGATAAGGCCCACCCTCACCTCCCCACTTCCTCCTCTCCAACCCCAGGGTCTCCTCCGCTTCCACATCTTGTTGACTTTTGAATTTACAAGGTGTGCCAGTTGCCAAGGCCCCCGGTTGATTACACCCCTGGACCTGCCTTAGGAAAGCATCCTCCTCCCCCAGCCCCTACCAGCAACTGGGAGGTGGGGCTGGGAACATAAGATGAGATCTCTGAGGTGCTGGGAAGAAATTAAAAAGAGGAAACATACTGAAAAGAAGACAGAAGAGAGAACGCGAAGGTAAGTTCCATTCTGAAAAGGAAAAGGGGAAGAGCCACGTGTGACTTTATAGCCGGTTCTGAAACTCATGACTCTTGACCAGGTCTGACTCTGACCGTGGGGAAAGCTCAGGTGGGGTGAGGAGCTTTATGGTGTTTGCTTGGTTTATTGGTTCTGTGGAAGAGGATATGAGGGCCCAGGCAGTTCTCTGGAGATAGGACCCCTCAAGGAAAGGCCGAGATTTATGGTTTCCGGAAACCCTCAAGGTTACTGGCCTAGGCCTAGGCTTTCCTTGGTTCCAGGGATTTAAGGGGGGAGGGCCTGGAGGTAAAGGAAATTCCAAATCGTGGTGGGAACCATTCCCCAAAAGACTTTTATCTTCTATCATCTCCCGTGATTCCCAGTCTACTCCATGATGCTGACAGTCTGCCATCATTTTAACGAAGCTGGGGCCTGAGGCTGAAAGAGTAGGCAGGCTGGTCCCAGGTCAGACAGAATCAGTGTCAGAGGAGCAACTCAAACCTAACTCTCCTGGTTCCCACTCTGGGGCCCTTTCTCTCTGGGCTATTTATACTGGAGTGGCCTTTGAGGCCCAATCAGGAAATACCTGAGTCACCCTGACTAAAAGAAATAAACTATCGCTAAGGGCTCTGGCCTGGAGTCACCTCTCTGTCACCACATGCAGGCCTGGGACAATAGGCGCCCATCGCTCCTCAGCAAGGTGGCTTAGGTGTCCCCTCCCACAAGCATGTGACCACACCAAGGGTGCTTGACCTTCCAGGAAATGCTCCTGTGGACACTGGCCCTGGCCAAGTGGCTCTGGAAACAAATGTTTCATTGACAACCCTACTTCACAGGCATAAGAGGCTAGTTCCTGACACAGCCTTCCAGTCTTCCGTGGACCCTGTTAGCAGGATAAATTTTATTTCTGAGCTTAATTAGAGGACATGCCATAAATATTCATGCAGCAAAATGAGCCCTGGCTCACAAGTGCAGCTGCTTCCCGCATGGGGGAAATTAACATTGTTTTCCAGCCATGAGTAATGAGGCGCCACTGCTGGAGAGAGGAGCCTTTTCAACAGCCTCTCTAGGACAGAAAGGGAGAGCCATACTCAGAGGCATCCACACCCTGGGGAGCCAACACGGCCCCCACAGACCCCTCTGCAACTCCAAATGAGGGGCACAGCTGGGATCCTCAGGGGCTCAGTCCTGAAGGGGGCCCCCAGCAGGGCACTCAACAGAGCAGACAATGCATCGAGAATAGGGATCAGCAAACTCTAACACGGGCCAAATCCACCTGCCACCTGCTTTTGTAAATAAAGTTTTATTGGAACCCATTTGTTTAGATATGGCTACAACAGCAGAGTTGAGTAATGTGACAGAGACCTTATGGCCTGCCAAGCCAAAGGAAAATATTTACAACCTGGTCCTTTGCAGAAGAAGTATGCCCTAGAACTATTTCATCCTGGATATTTGTGATTATTAATATAAGTCCCATAATCTCAAATTCTCTGTAACCTTAGGAATATGGAATGGTTTTAGAGTCTCATGGTTTTAAAATCTTCCGTGCATAGACTCTGGAACTAATCTCAGCTCTATCACTTCCTTAGCTGTGTGACTATGGGCCAGTTACTTAACCTTCTCTCTGCCTCAGTTTACTTATCCTAGCTCATAGTGTTGTGAAGACTGAATGAATATTTATAAAGCCCATAAAAAATATTCAGCATAGGATAAGCTATAAATAAGTACCTGGTAAATAAATGGATTCAATCTCCTAAAATTTCAAAATCCTCAAAAAATAGGATCTTAACCTCTCCCTACAAATTTCAGCCTGTAAGATCTTAGAATCTAAGCTGTGACAGGGAGTCCCCAAGTTTCTGACACTGTCCTAAATGCTTTATAGTCATTATCTCATTTAATCTCCAAAACAACTCTGTGAAGTAGGAATTACAGGCAATTTACATATAAAGAAACGGACTTTGCAAAGGTAGGAAACTAATCCAAGGTCACAAGGGTAAATTGCAAAGCTTGAACCTGCAAAGCCCAGGGTACCTGACTCCAAGCTTTATCTCTCAGATAATCCCACCCTCACCCACTGCCAAAGTCTCTCCTCTGTAACTGTCACAGTCTCTGCTGGGCACTGCCATGTCAGGAAGCTGGGGAGCTCACACTGGGATCTACTCTTACTTTCGCTCCTCCTAACCCCCTTGGTCCTAGTTTGTCTGTTTGTGGCTCTGAAAATCCCAGGCAAGAGACCATGGACATTTCTGGGAACATCTCCCAACTTGCTGGGAGCCAGCAGCAGCCTGGGCCTCAAGCATTTGCAACAAACTAGACCCATGAAAAGACAGCGCTCCATAGCTTTATGCAAACCACACCCCCAGCAAGCCCTCTCCGGTACCAACAAGAAGCAGGGACCCCTCTTTCTCCTTAAGACTCCCAACATTGCTGACTGAACTGTCACTCGGTGAGACAAGAGCCACGTCCTCATCTAAATCTTGTCATAATACTCCTAGGACTCTCTAAGCCTTGTCACCTTTCTGCTTGCTTTCAGTGTTTTGAGATCTAGCCTCCCCTCTGGTTCTACAGCATAATGAAGCTCATCATGTGCTGGTAGCACTGTGTTTATCCTCACAGCATTCTTGACCTAGTGGGTCAAGAAAGTATTACCATTCTCATTTATAAGATGATGTACCTGAGACCCAGAGGCGAGGAGGAACCGAAAGAAAGAAGAAATTATACTACAGTAGAACCTTCTGGGGCCAGGCCCTGTGCTAAGCCCTTTGTCTCATTTCATCCTGACACATGTAGGTGCTCACCCCACTTTCCAGGAAAGGGAACTGTGGCTCCTAAAGGAAAGCTGTCTTGTTCTAGGTTCCATAGACAGCGGGAGGAGGAAGACATTGATCAAGCATCTACCGTGTGCTAGGTATATTCATACATATATATGCCTTATTCTGCCAGCACACACACAAAAAAACCCTAAGTGGGGGGGGGGGGTCTTTTTAATGCCTGCTTGCCAGATGTGTAAACTCAGAGGCTGGGGTGGCTGTCCCAGGAGAGCAGGGCTGGACCCCAGGCCTCGCTGGCGTGGATGAAGCACTTTTGCCCGACCCCAGCAGCCGTGGCGAGACTCAGCCCATATCCTTTCAGGGAGTGAAAAAGGAAACACTGGGCCCTTTTACAGGGTTTCCATGTGCATGACCGGGAGCCCCTGAGGATCGCCGATCTGCCACGGATGGGAGGAACAGTTTATTTTTTCTGTGGGCCTCTCTGGAGCCTTTCAAGGGTGTGAAGTTCCATGGCCTGCAAAAGCTGATTCTACTGGCTGTTCAGAGCAGGCCCTGCCTGGGCTCCAGCCCCCGCAGCCCCTGCAGACCCCAGCTTCTTCATGTGCCGCCCATGGGAACTCCCTCTGGCCCTCCTGGCCTCTCACACACTGAAAGGCTGCAGAGTGACAGGCTGGCAACTGGACTCTGATGTTTATTCACCAAACACAGAGATGGCCCTCTAGGTTCTCCTCCACCATCCAACCCTCTTCTACCTCAGGGAAGAGTGGTCACCAGCCCACTCCCAGGCCAGGATCCCAGCACACTCACCTCTGGAGACTGGCTACGACGAGGGGCATCCAGACTGCTCCTGCAGCGAGAGAGACTCTGGTTAGACACAAGGAAGAACTTGCTGCCACTGAGGGATGTTCAGCTCGGAGAGAGAAGGGGAGTCTCCTGAAGTGCCATGGCATTTCGGTAAGGACCCCAAGCTCTTCTGTAACCCCTGGGATAAGGGAGGGGTGAGGCTGCATGATTCTCAAGCCCCACTCTCTACCAGTTCTGACAATATGATAATTCTGAGGTTCCACAGCATGAGACAGGGGCTCAGAGTGGACCACAGGATCATTTCTATAGGTTTCTATCTCCAGACCTGCCAAGTGATTGACTGGACCAGACTGAGCAATTGTGTTGGGAAACTGCTTGGTTGCTTCCCTGTACACAGTCAAGGAAGCTGCACGGTCACTTTGCAAAAACGGAACTGCTGCTACTGCTTTTCTGTGGTTCCTTTTCACGCTGCCATTTTTATAACTGAAATGACTGCTTTGATTGGACTGGCCCATTGTGCATCTAACCGATCCATTGCTGGACTGAACTGACAGGCCATTCGTTGGCCACAGTCAGCTGTGGATGTGTGTGAGCTGGTTGGTGTGCAGCTTTCCGGATTAGATATTTTGACTAAATGGGCTGGTCTGAGCCCTGCAATCGCCCCAGCCCCACTCCCCAACCTCACTACCAACCTTGGCCTTTCCAGAGAATTGCAGTTCCAAGAATATCAGTCATAAATCCCGGCCAAATCCACCATGAAAGGACACACAGTATTGTCACGAGTTTAAAGCTGGGATTCAAATCAAGAAGGGAGAAAGCCCCAGTGGAGGACCTGTTATGCCCTGCAGCCTTGCCAGGCAGTCCATGTGGGCTGGACAGAGCCTGCCGCCCTGCCCCTCATCTGTGTCAGGGGATTGCTGAGTCCCTAGCACAGCCCCTCACTTGCCTCTTTAACTCACTTCCTTTCATTGCCGGCAGGTCCACCAACTTTCAATGGGGCTATAGCAAGAGGGTATTCACCCTGCCCACCCCTCCTTGGCCTTTCAGGCTCGTAGTGAAAGGGACTTGTCCACAAATCAGGGATTTGCCATTGTGCCCTTTGTAAAGACTCTCCATTTCCCTCAGCCCCACCCCTCCCATCTCCAGAATCAGTGGGGGTGGCCCTGAAGGGCTGCAGACAGAGGTAACAGAGCACAGTACACCCAGTACCCTTGTTTAGAATCAGGGCTGAGGCCTCAGAAACTCCAACTTTGTTTTGGAGCAAAAAGACGACCTCTAGATTTCTCCTGCCTCCACCCTTTCCCCATTTTACAGATGGGGAAACTGAGAGCCATAGAATGAGGACTCTTGACACCTGGTTTGCTATTCCATTAGCTCATTTTCACTCCCCATTTCTTTTCTTCTTTCAGAATTGAGGAGGCAATGGCATTTGTCATTTGTGTTAACAATACGCCACACCATTGAAAACTGTACAATGGCTGCAGCCAGCAGTCTAGGAAGTTTCGCATCTGAAATCAAAAGCTAGAGCCACGAAAACAGCAGGTCGTGGTGGAACTGCCTCTAAAATAAATGGAAACACTCGCCTGACTAATTTGAAATTCAACTCACAAAAAGGAAACAAAGCCAAATTGTTCTTTTCCTGTTTCTAATATTTTTGCTCTCACATTTGGATTAGTTAATCCAACTACCTGTTTGTGGGTGGGCCTGCTGGGGACCAGAATGGAGCGCTAACTTGCCCAAAGGCACACAGTGTGGCAGGCATGTTTGGCCTGACCCCTTTCTACCTCTCCGGCAGGCAATTCAGTGTTGGGAAAATCTTGGCTACAACGAAATGGTATTCCTAGAAGCAGCTAGGCACTGCAATTTGGTTTGTTGTGGGGCTTTGCAGTTTCTAAACTAAATGATTTATTAAGAATAGATGTGTGAGGCCGGGCGTGGTGGCTCCTGCCTGTAATCCCAGCTACTCCGGAGGCTAAAGCAGGAGAATCGCCTGGACCCAGGAGACAGAGGTTGCAGTGAGCCAAGATTGCACCATTGCACTCCAGCCCGAGCAACAAGAACAAAACTCCATCTCAAAGAAAAGGACTAGATGTGTGAGATACTATCTCACGCCAGTTAGAATGGCGATCATTAAAAAGTCAGGAAACAACAGATGCTGGAGAGGATGTGGAGAAATAGGAATGCTTTTACTCTATTGGTGATAGTGTAAATTAATTCAACCATTGTGGAAGACAGTGTAGCGATTCCTTGAGGATCTAGAACCAAAAATACCATTTGATCCAGGAATCTCATTACTGGAAATATACCCGAAGGATTATAAATCATTCTACTATAAAGATACATGCACATGTATGTTTATGGCAGCACTATTCATAATAGCAAAGACTTGGAACCAACCCAAATGCCCATCAATGACAGACTGGTTAAAGAAAAAGTGGCATATATACACCATAGAATACTATGTAGCCATAAAAAAGGATGAGTTCACGTTCTTTGTAGGGACATGGATGAAGCTGGAAACCATCATTCTCAGCAAACTAACACAGGAACAGAAAACTAAACACTGCATGTTCTCGTAAGTGGGAGCTGACAATGAGAACACATGGACACAGGGAGGGGAACATCATACACCGGGTCCTCTCCAGGTGGGAGTAGCTAGGGGAGGGATATCATTAGGATAAAAACCTAATGTAGATGATGGGTTGACAGGTGCAGCAAACCATCATGGCACATGATACCTATGTAACAAACATGCACGTTCTACACATATATCCCAGAACTTAAAGTATAATCTAAAAAAATAAGAACAGATTTGAAAGCAGCAAAAGGGGTTGATTTCAATGCTTCATCTATGGGAAGATTGCCATGATCTCTCAGCATTTCTATCCTAAGCTGCTCCCTCCCCTAGGAGGTGCTTTATGTGAACCTGGGGCTGGGAGATTCTGTGTGGGAACTGAGCTGGAGAAAAGATCATTTGAGGAAGATAGCCTCATATTTCAGTGGTCACTGCACAGACTGTCTTCATGGTGCTTGAATAAAAAGCAGGAGGTTTCATACTGAAGTTGTTTCTCTTTGGCTAGTCCTTCTACAGAGCTTTGGGGATGAATTCATTCCGAAGGCAATATTTTCTAAATTGCCAGTGTGACTCTGAAGCCAACTTCATTCTGCTTTTGGTTTATTCCTAAACTTGATAGAATCCCAAGTGTTAATCTCCGGCTGATATCTAACCATCCTCTTCCACTACGCTGTCATGGCGGGGATTTATGGCTGGGTGACGAGCTGCCACATCTCTCTGAACCCTGATGAAGACACAGATAACATCATCAACTCATCACTGAACCATCCCCATCAACCCCGCTTTAATCACCCCCAAGACTGATAACCATTGGAGGCTGTTAATACCTAGCAAATTATCTAATCCACATGTTGTTCGATCTATGTAAACTCCAGCCCATGAGGATCATAAAATAAATAAGCGTGAAATGGCTTGCAGTTTTGAATCTCCTCTCACCTAGATAGGCCAGGCTGTGTGATTTCAGCCGCTGTTATGGCTCCCACCTCCTTCCTAGAGGGAATGAGCAGCACAGGTTCCTATGTGGGCCTATTGGAGACTGTTTCTGGGATGGAGGCCACACACACACACCCCTGTCTGTCCCTCCTGCTCTCCCTCCCACATCCCAAATGAAGTCAAGGCTTCATTTCACTGATATGTTAATCACTGAAATAGTCTTTTCCTGCAAGACACAGGCATGGTGAATTAAGATGCTGGATGATTTGCAAAACGAAAAGCAAGCTGTTCCTTGAAAAACAGAGGGCTGGTAGGAATTTGTAATGATGAGAGGCAGGCAGAGAGGGGAGACAGAAAAGGAGGTCGGCAGCTCTAGGGGATGTAAGGAGCGATAAAATTAGACTGCGTTGTCTAGACATAAGCACAGGGTTACTGAGAGGTTTTGCGTGTGTGTGTGTGTGTGTGTGTGTGTGTGTGTGTGTGTGTGTGAATAGGGCCCAGCCAAATGGCCTCTAAATCCCTTTTTGTTGCTGAAATTCGTCAAGGCTATGTCTAAAAGCCTATAATTCTAAAATTCTGTAATTCATAGATCTGATACTTCTCTAACAAAACAGACACTCCCTGATTCTAAGGTTCTGTGATTCTAAGAGTTTGTAATCCAGTGAGTCTGTAATTATAAACTGCTATGATTCTCTAATTCTAGACACTATGGTTCTAATTCTACCATTCCATGATGCTAATATCCTGTGATTCTAAGATTCTATCATTCAGTGTTTCTTTAATTTAATATCCGCCATTCTCAAGTTCTATAATGGAAGAGGCCATGATTCTGTATTTCTATAAATTTATTCTTTGATATTTCTAATGCTCTACAATTCTAGTATTCTAGAATTTTGATTTCATAATCCTAAAATTCTAGAATTCTGTTTTATGCTACTAAGAATCTAAAGCATTTATACGATTTTATAAATCAATTTTTCAAGAATTCCTACAATCTGAGATTCTTACATACTGAGTTTTTAAGATCCTACAATACAAAAATCTTTTTAAATTCAATGTTCTATATTTTGAAGACTAAATTTCAAGTAGTCTTAGTTCTGAAATAATATTGTATGCTATCTTGATTCCAACATTTCTCATATTTTATGATCTGATTATTACAAAAAGTCATTTTATCTACAAAATGCAGGAATTAAGCTGCAAGTGACAAAGAATCAAGGGACCTCCACAGCTGTCCTCCTAATCAGATTGGAGCACATCACAGGACCGTGGATTCTTCCTCTGTGGCAATGGAGACCTGAAGACAGCTGCTTTACCCAGCCAGGGCTCCAGGAACTGCCTGGAAAGACAAAGGCATGGGGAGGTGGGGGCCCGGCCAGGGTCAGGCTGAGGAGTCGGCCCCCTTGCCTCCGGGAGGCCTCTCCTCAACAGCCAGGTTTCCAAACATCTGCCAGCATTTGGGTCCCGATTGCTGTCCTTTAAAAGTATCCCTCTCCTTTTCTTGTTCTCCATCAAGGGCTCCCATGACAATCATTTCAAGCAGCTAATGAGTTTCAGATGGGCTTTGGGAGCCAGGAACGGATGGACGCTCAGAGAGGATCGTTCTTAGGCTGAGTTCCGTGGGCAGGGGGAGGGGTGGGGGTCAGAAAGGAGAATCTTTTGTAGCTGAAGCAATAGGGGCCACCCACCCCTCCCAGGCCTGGGGACAGAACCTGGAAAGGAGCCCGAGCCCTGGTCACACTGCCTGCTCCTTCCCGCTTGCCCATGTTTGCTCGCCGTCAATACAGAGACCCACACTCCCTTTCTAATGCATCACCCACTGTTTTGAACTTTGATGAAATAAAGACCCAGAAGTATTATAGGAAAGATTGAGGCCTTCTTGGGGCCAAGATGTGATTACTCACCTGCTAATAGAAGGGTCCTTGCAAAAGACAGAAATCGTCCTTGTTGAAATTATGTCGTCTGTGATTCTCTCCCCTTCCCCACACGGCCCGGGGTAGGGTTGGCTGTGGGGTCCCTGGGGATTCTGGCCCCTGAGCCCCCTAGCACCACACGGGGGCAGCTCAGCAATCCTGCCACTCCCTGTACTAGACTGCTCTCTCCCTTTGGCCTGGGGCTCTGAGGAGGGGCGACAGTGGCCCCAAAGAGCTTTCTTCCTCCTGTTCCAGGGGAAGAGGAGAGGCCAAGGGCCCAGGAGAGGCATCCCAGCCTTCATTTCCGTAACATTCGGAGAGCCCAGGGAGCAGCCAGTGCCCAGAATCTGGCCAGGATTATACAGTGGGTTCTGCAGCATTCTCGCTCCCTGGCTGCCTGAGAACTTCCGCTGCTTTCAAGGTCTAATTTAGGGATTCACGTAAATGAGCAGAACATTGAGAAAGACACAGCAATGCATTTCAGAGGAACTCACACTCTCCACAACCCATCGAGGCAGGAATGTAGGGAACATTCTGCAACAGGATGTGTATCGTTTAGGGTTTGGAGTGGGTCTCTCCCGGCAAGAGAGAACAAACCTTATAATTAAGTAACTCTTCGTTTCCTTTAAGGTATCAACAACAACCACGTTCTCCCCAGTTGCCTAAATAGGACAAGTCCCGGGTTAGGCAGTTCCTGGTGGTCTGTGCTCACACATGTGCAGAGAGAGAAAAAAATCCTCCTGGAAGCTGGCCTCCCTGGCTTCCCAGCAGCAGGCCACCTCCCTGTCCCACCGCTCCCCACTCCCCCGTTAGCAATTAGGGGTAATCTTTTGTTGCCTGGAAAGTGTAAAAATTGCCGGCTTTTCTTTTTGCATGCATAATATCCATTTCCCCTCCAAGCACGTTATTTGGTTTGGGAATTACATCTATTTACAAGAGTAGATGTTGCACAAAGGTTGTGTTTATGTGGAAAATTATATCGGTGACACGGGCTGATTGGCATGTGGAGGCTGGGAGAGCAGGCCTTCTCATCAGCTTGGAATAACAAAATGATTGTATTTTCAGCAAAGCTAATTGATCACATACCTCGCTGGGCTATCTGTTTACTCAAAGGCCATCCAGGCCCTGGGAAGGTGGAGAGAAGAGAGCCCGGGGCTGTGGTCACTGCCAGGCCGACTGAGCCAAGGGCTAGGAGTGTGAGACAGAGACCAGGGCCTTGGAGACCAGGTCCTCAGGTGGTGAGGTTCGGCAGCAGGTCGGGCTGACGCCATTCTCCCCAGGAAACCAGGCCCGGAGTTCACACTGGTGACGTTGTCCTTTCTCCAGACCCCAGAAGTCAGTGTGGGGCAGAGCAGGTGTGGGGAAGGACAGGTCGGAGTAGGATCCGGAGCCACTGATGAGAAAAGGCAAGTAAATTCCCTTCTTTCATCCTTGTGAAAAGCAGTGGGCTTTAAGCTGGTGCTGAGCTGGCCGCACAGGGCTTGTGGGAGTGAAAGCTCGGGAAACCTGTCTCCATGTGTCTGCCTTGACCCAATGACTCTGTCTTTGCTCTTCTCTGGGGAGCTCTAGATCAGGGGCCAGGAATGAGACTAGAAGGATGGCTGGGAGAGAGGAACGTTATAGGGTGGGGGACACTGTGAAGGCAGCCTCCAAATCTGCGAACAGCAAAACCTGAGTGCAGCCCTCTCTGAGGCCCTGCAGGAACAGATCTTGCTGCTGCCTTTGGGGAAAGAGGTGCTTATCTTTAGGTTTATGACCAGAATTCCTGGCCCTGGGCTGGCTGAGCCTGTGAGAGGTCTCCTAAGAAGATATTACCTCCCCTCATTGACCCACACCAGCCAACAGCTGAAGCCACCTAAAAAAACCCAGAGTTAGAATTGCATTTCCTCCCTAGAGTTAAAACTACAGTTACTTGGGAGCAGAAAACAAAATGGTTGGATATAGTTAAGCAAGTATTTGAACTGAAAATGGCCAGTTATTAGAGAAACATCTTGTCCTCAATTCACTAAGAAACATCAATTTACCAGTCACTTTGCAAACATGAAGTTCCTTTGAAAACTACTGTAATCTGTTATCCCTCTTGGGGTTTATGAAGATGACTGGTTATTTCGCAAACTTCCAGTCGGGATTCGGTCATGCTACTAGTTACTCTTTACAAACAACTTGGCACAAGCTCCAGCTCCTGGTTTGTCAGGTTAGAACTATGATTTGGTCTTTCTTCCCATTGCTGATCAAATTCAGATTTAGTTAACTTTTCCTAAAGCAAAGATGAAGAAATATTTGGGGGCAATCAATAATGATCTTTCACTGATTTCCCGGAAAAATCCTAAAATCCTGTTGGCTATTCAACCCAACAGCGTCATTTTACAAGTGGGGAAGCTGAGGCCTAGAACATTGTAGTCTTTGCTGATCCCTGCTAATGACATCTGAGCCAGGTTTGAGTATATTTGTGGGTACTTGGATCAGGTGATGCTAAGTAAACTTCAGGTACTTCTTCTTCAAGCTCAGTCATGAGATTTTTCACCTCTACCCAGGTCTGAGCCACACAGTCTGACTTTGGAAGAGTTGAGATATTGCTGTAATACCCTTCTGGTAATACTGTGTATGTGTGTTTGTGTATGTGTGTGTTTGTCCACCAGGCATTTCAAAATCTCTGGCCTTTCTGAAAGACAGGCAAATTTATTAATGCAGAGCTCTCCGAATTGTTTTATAATTGGAAACATTTTGCAATGAAAGAACATTAATAAAACCTGAATCCAAATCAAACTTCTCTGTGTATGTTATTTTTACTCCACAGTCAAAAGCTTTTCTTAGATTTAAAACTTTCACTGTGCTTATCTCTGGCTGTATAATGTTCTACAATTAAAAAAAAGTCCAGTGACTCTGAAGTCTGGCACAATAATGTACTTTCATGGATGTCTCTGTGTGTTGCCAATTAGCTTTGCCGTGAACACAGGCCCCCATCCATCACCCGCCTCTGGGTGGCTGTAACAGAGACCTAATTTGTTTCATATGCCCTGCGCTCTCTGAGCCATTCACCAGCGCCTCCAACCTGCTGAGG